ACCCACACTGGTGGTGTTTGTTTGTGGTGTTAATATATTCAAGTTGTCTTAATTTCCGTCTGAGACATGGACTCCTATCAAGTCACATTGCTCCTTTCATGAACTCCTTTCAGCTGGTCCTCTCAATTTGGATAGCCATGCCAGAACCAAACACAAATTTCGGGGTGGGGGGAGTGTTTCTGAGAGCTGTACAATGGAGAGCCCATTATAGCTGTGCTCTGTAATGATGCCTCTATATATGCAGCTCGTAATGCCACTGGCCTTTTTTGCTGCCATATATCATCGAAAATTCATGTCTAATTTGCTCTTTGCTACCATCTATAAATTGCTTGTAGCATTACAGCCCTTCAGATTTCTCTCTTACTGAATGTATCTTTTGCAGAGGTATGTGTTTTAAGTTAAGATTTCATTAATATAATTAATGGCATTCATGCTAGAGGTTGGATTACATTGTTTTAGAAATACAAAGTAAAAAATGTAGTGAAAAAATGTGTTCTAGTGGAAAATTATCATGCATTTGGGAATGCAGACACGCTATATTGATTATTTTGCATCCAAATACTGTGCAGAATACAATAAAATATGCAAAACCATTTCATCTTCTCACGTTTTCATCATGTTTTAAATTGAAGCTTGCACTAATATTTCTTTTTCTTTCGTGTTTTCAAAGGAACTGGAAGAGCTCCGAAAGCAGGGGGAAATTATACCACAGCTAATGTCAGAATGTGAATCTGTATCTCAACAATTACAGGTACAGTTTAGCAATGAAATTAATTTTAAAATAGTTGATACATTTACTTTCCTTCTTGTAACTATATGCTTTTCTCTGTTCAGACTTCAGTGTTTGGAGGCAAAAGAGCCCCAGTTTGTAAAAACAAAAAAAAGCTAGTCGCCTGCAAAATACACCGTGCCCTTCCCAGCACCGGAGTAATTAAAAAGCTGCATTTCTTTGCCTCGCTGTTTGCAGAAATTGGTTTGCCTGGCATGGCGTGGCTTTTGTCTCCTGCAGATTCCGGGCTACCCTGTGTCTCCTCTCTGCCGCCCTGGGCTTGCGGCGGCGCGGGGGCGGCGGTGGGGAAAGAGGCGGATGAGCGCGGCTGCACG